ATAGTCGTAGTAGCAGCAACAACGACAATACTACCAAGACTACGACTACTAGGACCACTACTACAGCATCAACTACTACTGCTGCTGCTGCTGCTGCTACTGCTACTACTACTCCTACTACTACTACTACTACTACTGCTACTACTACTACTACTACTACTACTACTCCTACTACTACTACTACTAGGTTCTAGTGAAGTGCGTGGCTGCGTGTATCCCTATTCCCCTTGACCAGACGCTGCCTCAGGAACCCATGATTCGTCGCACCTTTCCTGGATTGCCGGGAGCTGTGTACGAGCAAATGCAGCACTGCGACAAACGACTTAGTTCTGACAGCCGCGTGCAAACCGCCGAGGCTCTTGCGTCAGTGGCAACTATCCCGACTTTAGTTCTTTTCACCGTGGCCCTCCTGATAAACAGGCAGTTCGGGCGGGTCTTGAGGCGTCTGCCACACGTGGTAATAGAATATGAATCGCTAATAACAGTCATAGGCACAAGAACAGCAGTGATAAGCTACTGCTACCGGTTCCATTAATATTAGAGCGTAGTACTGTCATTTGGGCTGTTGCTGCTGGTATTGATGCTTCTACTGTTGCTGCTACTGCTACTGCTACTTACTACACTACTACTACTACTACTACTACTACTACTACTACTACTACTACTACTGCTACTACTACTGCTACTGCTACTATTACTACTACTAGTGCTGCTGCTGCTGTTGCTGCAGCCGCTACTGCTGCTGCTGCTGCTACTACTACTACTACTCCTGCTGCTGCCTACCGCGACTGGTACCTGCGACTATTACAGAGAGGCGAAGACTGCAAGGGCTGTTTCGAAGAATCCAACACGGATGGCATGAAGAGAGTCGTAGAACTCAGTGCTACCATCACAAGACTGGAGATCCATTGTCGGTAGTTTATCAAACGTCGGTGCACGACATGATGCGAAGAACGCACATAACACATCATAAGGCATTGCTAATTCCATGGCCATCTGTTTTCGAGCACGAATGTAAAGGAGCACAACCACCGGCAGCCTTGAAAGCCTGGGCCTTACCTTCGGCTTATGCCTCATGACGGTTCTGATCGCCACTTCTGGTTTTCGCTATGAGCGTCGTGATCTAACGAGATGCGATCTGATGTTGTGATTTCGATGATGGTGAAGATGATGATGAGGATGGTGATGAGGCTGACGATTATGATGTTGATGACGACGGTGATGATGATAATGGTGGTGATGCTGTTGTCGTCGTTGTTGATGATGATGGTGATGATAATGATTGTCATGATGATCATAATGATAAGGCTAGCAGGACCGCTGATGATGATACCAATTCCGATGCCTATGTTGCGATGATATCAATGATGTTGATTGCGATATTTTCGTTGTTGATAACGATGATGGTGACAACGACCGTGATGACGAGGGAGAGGTTCAGGATGATGACGACGAAGACGACCACAACCAGTACCGCTACGACGAGGAGCGCCACCACCAGCCCTCACCATCACCAAAATGCGATTCTAAGTGCTTCATGTACTACGAACGCCAGCGGTTTGTAGTAGTCCCGTCACCGCTGACATTGTGGTTGCGAGTTGCGATTGATGCTGTTGTTGCCCTTGACAATGCTAGTGCTGTTATTGGTATGCGGTGTTTGCTCGGCCGGTGTAGCTGGCAAAGTGCAGGTTCCACAGTGCGTAGGAACTTGGAGCAGAAGTTCGAATACTGGCAGGCAGGGAGTGTCCGTTTCCATGGCACATCACGCCGCCAGCTCCTCCTCGCCAGGATTGGAGCTCTGAATCTGAGGATGTTAAAACGCTGCAGGAGGCCCCTTGTCCTAAAGTGACGGCACCGAAAGAGCAGCTGTTTCTTTGAAGGCGCTGCAAAGGGAGCGACGGGCCTGGGAGATGACACGGCAGGATACCTGTAGCTGGGAGGCAGCTCTGACAGTGAAGGCTCGCTGTGGGGACCTGACACCTGGCACAGGCAGGCAATCCACCAGCGTGCAGAGCTTAGTGTTCAGACCTTCCGAAGTCGCAATGACAGCTGGTCCTTTGCTTGTCGGTGTCTCTTTGTATGGAATGGAGATTCTTGGAGCTGGGAAGGGGGATCAGGTGCCTTGCTCTGGCTAGACAACGGCGAGCTGCTTTCATCGGCTTTCTCTCTTCCACCAACTTCGCCTTGCAAAACCCTCTAAATTCGGGGCAGGGCTTGGAAGCAGGTTTCAGAATCTCAGGTTTACTGCATCTCTCAGAAGAGGAAGAAGCAGAACGGAACAGTTCATGTCATGTGTAGTATCATGTATACGTGTGTGTGTATATATATATATATATGTATATATATATATAGAGTGTAAATAAATGAACAAATACATATCTCTTTATGTATATATATATATATATATATAGCATACATATACATGTATACATACGCTCATTTTTCATTCCACAGCCTGCGAGACCATCCGGTCGCACCTACTGCAAAAGTGAAATCATGTGAGACTACAAGTCAGGCCAGCTCAAGCCATCCTGTACTGTACGAGGCACAATCCGACCGACAAGAGCCAGGTGGCTCAATTGCAGTCGATGCCTTCTCAGCAAAACCCTGGTCGACTTGGACTGCTGCACCATAAGCCCTACAACATCGCACACTCCTTCTAGATACGTAGCCTGCCGCTCGGCCTAACAGGGCACCTCCAATGAAAGGGAACAGAATGCAGGACATGGCGACACTTTGCGGGGGCACGGCTCCTGCTGGAGCCCCTCCCCCGCTGGCATGGACGTATTGTATTCATGGCAACCTGAGGCATCGCCGCCAGGGCCACAGTGCTCGGCCCCACACTGCGTATAACTCCAATTAGACGGCCTGACTCCCACACTTTGCCAGCATCTGTCTCTGCGCGGCATTGAGGCTTCGCTCAGAAATCTGGACATAGCCGCTTCGAGAGCATCCCCAATTGCTTCTCCTTCTGCGTCTGTTGGCGTAGCTGCTTGCTTCGGGACTCCTCCAGCAACTAGTTGCTTCACCCGAGCGGCCTCTCGCCATTTTCCTGGGTTGTTTCGCATACGAGAGCGCAGCCTGTACGAGACCTTGTAGGAGGGCACTGAATGGTGCCTCCAAAAGGAGGATATCGCGGGCCCAGGGCTCAACACGCTGCGGCGGGCTTTTTGCCTGTTCCTGCGCAGGCGCCGGAGCCACCTGAGACTTCGCCCAACCACCGTGACAAAAACGTGGGAGTACACCCACCTTGGTTCCGGCAATGCCAGGGCTCCCTCACCCAAAGCTAGATCCAAAACCCTTTCTATACACACGCACACACGTATATATAAAAGATAAATATGTATACACACATGTATATATATATATATACATGTACACACATGTCTATATGTATGTAT